GATGGATGGATGGATAGATGGATGGATGGATGTTTGTTAGCGTTTGTAGCCTAAACGGCTGAACGGATCTCCATGAAATCTAAATCTAAATTTGGCACAGGTTTAGAGCATAGTCCGGAAGAACACATAGGCTACTTTTTATCCCTGGAATAGTTACGGTTTCCGTGGGATTCATTAATTTAGTTTTTTAATGTTTACTCGATCGTTCTGCAACGGTTAAACATATCTTATTGAAAATTGGCACAGATATAAAACAAAGTCTGGAGTACACATGGGATAAGCTTCATCACTGAGAAATGTCCGGTTCCCGAGGGATACGTAGTTTTTTGTAATTTTTATAGTTTGTATGTTTTCTAATACCACGCGTACGAAGTCGCGGGCAACAGCTGGCATAATATAATCTTTCTTTAAACATATTATAATGCATGCAAAATGCAGATCTGATAAATAATTTAATAAAAGGCCACTAAAGCGCATCCTGAAATGTTGAGTAATGTTTGATGCGAAACAGTGCTTCGTTTGAGTTGTAACTTTTGCCCGTGTGTATTGAATTTTTTTTCCAACTAACTCGCATGGTACTGCCTCGTGTGCGAGGTTTTAGCTTGTTTAAAAGTTTTCACATTTGTAGAGCTATGTGCAGTTAAATGTTTTTTTTACATATTTAAAAATTGATAAGTTAAAAATAATAATGATCTTTGAGACGACTACTAGAGGCTTAGTCGTCATGTTGGCCATACTGTATAAAATGTTGCGAGCATTGATAGCAGAAAATGGTAGCAATGAGTCATCAGTCACTACTACCTGCGCCGCAGTCGATGACGGACGTCTCTCGTGTGTATTCAGCTAGTGAAAGGGACGTTATCGACATATCCTACAAGACCTATCAGAAGTATTCCATTCTTTGATTATGGTTTATAAATCTTACTTCTTTTTGTTATTACAAATGCTAAGGTTAAGATGGATGGAAGTTTGTTAAGGTTTGCTGTCTAAACCGCTGAACAAATGTTGATGAAATTTTAAATTCCAAGCGTACGAAGTCGCAGGCGAGAGCTAGTTATTATATCTATTTTAAACGATAACCGGAGCGAGCTTATTAGACGTTCCTTAATTTTATCACAAACGGCCAATTAAACTCGTTAAAACTGTACTGAAAATGACATAAATTTAATCAATGTTAAAGACTTTTACTGCGGAATATTACAAAAGGGGAATATATTTAAGCTAATTCGTAATTATTTAAATGTACCGTCCCTTAAGGTAGTTTGCGAGGCTCGTATTGTGATTCAAGTCACGTGCAGTCTCTCAGTTGATTGTAACTTATTCTTGAAATTTGCAACTTAAATACACAGTTAGTTAATGAATCGAACAAACGATTCTTACTAAGAAAGTGTAGTGTTAATTTATTTATAGGTTCTTACAGGTTTGATTTTCTTTTGGTTCATAATAGAGGAAAACCGAGATAGACGGGAACGCATTTAAAACTGATTTTGTCACATATTTTCTCCCACTTTGCTTTTTTTTAATTAAAATAAAACTTTGTATGGTTAGGTACGAGAAATAATGAACGTAGGAACTGTCTTAGTACAGACTACTTTCACTGGAAAACCTAAGAATGATTTATGATTTAACCAAATGACTGATAATTAAAAGAACAGTTTTCTTCACGGTCAAACTTTATAAAATAAACTATATTGGAAACTGGTTATTGCACAGGACTTCGTCCGCATGGAATTAGAAAATTAGTAAAAATATAGCCTATGTTGCTCAGTGATTGTAGCTTTTTAATGGTGGAAGAATTTTTGAAATCGGCACAGTAGTTTTTGACTTATTTCAATACATACAAAAATACAGAAATACAAATCTTTCCTCTATATAATATGAGCATAGATATAGCTATAGAAGTATAGATAACAGGAGGTGCCATAGTCTCCTCATTACTGTTTATAAGCGCGATAAAGTTTATAACAACGCCATCTAGTGCAAAGAAAAATTGTTTTATTTCAATTTAAATCTGTCCAAATACCAATACTAAAATATTTTTATCAAATAACGTATGATACATGAAACTTGTAAAGCGATATACAAGAACTGAAAAGAATTTAACATTGCACATTTTACTTTTTCATTTCTTCTATTCAAAGGGTTTTTTGTAAGCAATACTTCACAAGCAGCGACAGAGGACGAGATTGAAATTCAATACGAACGTTGTCTTACAAGAGCTTCTTTATTGTCTTCAGTTTTATTTTAATTCTGTTCAAATGTGTACAAATTTTCGAAATCGATGTTAATGTTTTATTAGTGTTACCTATATCTATATTAATATTATAAATAAATAAATGATTTTTTTTTTATAATTGTGTGTATTTGATTCACGCAAAAACTACTTAGCCGATTTTAAAAATTCTTTCACCATCAAAAAGGTAATTTGTCTATGAGTAACATTTGTTACATTTTTTTTATTTTAATATCACGTCAGCGAATTTTCTTATATAGAAATAAAAGAGGTGTTTAACTAAATGATGGCGTAATTCAAATAACGTGTGCTCTTTATACTTAGTGTATCTTACACATAATTAGTGATGATTAGGTTGCCCTCAACAGGTTGGCTTTATATCTATGAATTTCTACGAGAAATGTGCAGTCGTTTTCCTTCACCGTAAGAACGTGAGCTCAGCTGAAACTAAACTATAGTAGATCTTTTTAGTCTCGTAGTTGTTCAACTAAACAATTGAATTGGCCGCAAAACAATAGACAGTTACATAACAGTTGTGCGATAGTTTAGTCCAATGTGTGTGCCTGCTCTAAGAACGCATAAATGTACAAATGAATTCTTAAACCGAACACATTGGTATACAACGAAAAGCAAATCAGGACCTGAAAACTATTCAAATGTTAACCTCAGAAAATCGGATAAAACATATAAATACATTTTAAAATGTAATAAAACCGTATCAACAATTTATTGAAATTTCTCCTTTTAAAAAGATGCACACATTTTGAAGTGGGTTTTGCGAGCATTTCTTCGCACTTTACGAGCTTTGTGCTTTTATTCGTTGAGATTCAATATTGGAATGGATCGCGTCGCGTTTGCAAGTTTGTAATGCCTCCCAATGTGGCTCAACCAGCCGTGCAATAACCACGATTCAGAACTATTTTAAAGGTAGTTTTGTAGTAAAGTAATTTGATTTTGTATATGTTACGTTGTCCAAGTTTATGCAAATTACATCAAATAATGACAGTTAGTTATCTAATAAAGTAAAGCGTAAACACACACTACTTTGTGGCGTAAGATGTCAGCAATCACAGCATATTTTTGGATATTTTATTCTTTAATAAGAAACCATAAACTTATGACTAGCTTTAGGCTATATATTTTCACGCTATTAAACTTAGTGGATAAATAAAATGGAATAACACCATTATGTGGAAAAGGGACCATAAACTACGAGCTGCCAACATCAAGGAAGCAAGATAATTTGCAATTGATATTATAACAAATGTAAACAATAAAATATAATTTTCATAATTACATGTGGATGAAGCCGCACGTGAACAGCTAGTTTTTGATAAATCATTTAGATTTTATCCATATTAGATAAAGAAAATGTGAAAAATGAAAGTTACTGTTATGCTGTTATGTTAATAGGTTCTTAAAAAAAAAGAATGTTTATGATTAAAAATGTAAATGAACGGGAAGTATTTCCACAGCAAGGATCGCTATTTGTTGGGCGAAATCAAGTGCGAACGAGAAATTTTCTGTTTTTCTATCGCTTCATTATTTTCATCCTTTGTTCCCTTTTCCAAGAGGCCATTGAAAAGTGGAAATAATGAAAAAAGTGTCTTTTACAACTTTTTATTCTTCCAAGAAAGGGTTCAATTAAAAGCGTTCCTTTGAATCGCGAGGCTTGACTGTTAATATGCTACCAAGTCATTGCTTTTTCGATATTCATTTATTAAACTGATAGAAAATTGTATTGCCTACTTTCTCGTTAAACCCAAAATTAAATTGTTAACGACCATCCAACGTTAACCAATCACTAACAACCAACAACCAACACCCAACAACCAACAACCAATAACCAACACACAACAACCAACACTCAACAACCAACACCCAACAACCAACAACAACACTGTGTTTCTTGGTTGTTGGTTATTGGTCGAACAGTGGTTTAGCATCTTTGTGTGACAGTAAGTCACAATGTTAAGAACTACTTGTGGGCTATCTACTTGTTTGTACTTTTGTACTACACATGAAGTTATCTGATTAGATGGTACATATGGATATGTTTGTTATATCCGCTTTATGTTTTTTTTTATATATTTGCAGCGCCAACTTTATAGAGTCTACCTCTGATCATATTCAAAGTGTTTAAAGCGTATTTAAGCCAAGTTATTTTAAAACCTAAAGTTATTTTGAAATGGGACCTTCACCTGGTTGTGAATTTATTAATTTAACGTATAACTTTTATAAATTATAACTTTTTGAAATGTTTCATTTATATTTTTATACTTGGAAAGTTTTATTTGTTAAGTTATAAAGCTTGAGGTAACATAGGAATGTATTCCGTCCGCGCGACTCCAAGTTATGACTCAAACGAAGGGGCCACTTTGTACCGAAATCACTTTGAGTGCACAAACGTTCGCGGAGTGAGAAACGTCTGTTGAACTTTATTGAGTTATATATAGTTTATTATCTTTTTTTATTTTGTAATGAAGTTTACAATTTCATACTAACTGATGTGCGATTGTCGATTGTTTCGCAGACAATTCAACTGTTTAGTAGCACAACTAAAAATCGAGTAGCATGCGCACCTCCATATAAGCTTGTAGGAATCAAAACAGAGACTAAACAGTTGTGCGATACTTTAGTCAAAGGTGTGCGCGCGCTCTTAAAATACTTAGTACTCCCAAAGTCTGACAAACTTCTTTCCCTAATAGTATCTCGGTAATTCAAAATCTAATACAATAATATAATGCTATAGTTTTTATTGTAAAATCTAGTGTCTGGTTTCAACTAATCGTGTCACAATATCGAATAAACTGAAAGGGCATTCATCGAGGTATTTGTCACAGTTTCCGTTCTGTCCGTTTAATTCTGCTTCGTAGTATGCGTCGTCGATACCTTCCTCCCGCGAAGATGATGGCCTGGAAAAAGATAATAATTTAGAGCATGCTTGGACTAGCACAACTGTTGTGCGATCAAAGCGAGAATAAATTGTTATACGATAGTTTAGTTTCAGGTGTGCGTACGTTCTTAATATTATAATTTATAGCTCCTTGATGCCTAATTTTGTGGTACGTGTATACATATACGTAGGGGTATCCCAGGATCATATATCCCAGGAGATTCAAAGATATGGGAAAAGTCAGCTACACTACAGACGGTTAAGTAAAGCCTTCTCACATCTAACGAAGAACTTGCTGACGATTCTTGAGGAATATTATCGTCAATACAATTGATTGAGCAACTACGGTCAAGATTTAATAGTTTATTTCGTGTTCAGCAAAACGTATGAGTAAAAATTTAAGTCGAATTAACTGCAATTTTCGAATGAATTTTACTGCAAACATATAATACTAGCTTTCGCCTACGACTCCATCAGCGTGAAATTAAAAATAAACAAAAGTGTACTTCTAAACTTTCTATATCTGTGCCAAATTTCATTGAGATCGGTTCAGCAGTATAGGCTACAAACTTTAACATACATCCATCCATCCATCTAAAATTTCGCTTTTATAATATTAAAAAGTAAAGGTAGTGTAACACTAACGTGAATAGGATATGCATGATGTGTCCGAGCAGGCCGTTGTGGTGCAGTGGGGTCTCCGCCGCTTCACAGATGTTCCGAAGCAAACATTCCTTGCCGTTCATGCCGTGTCTGAAAAATTTATAATTCTAGTATAGTTTTACATACTCTATGTAATTCTAAGGTAAACTATACAAGACAGAATGTAGGTTTAAAAAATATCTATTCTATGTTTTTTTTTAATTGGTTGACATATTTTATGTGTATATTTACAAGATACCGAATGAGTTAAAATCGTTGAACGGTTTAGGATAGAGCTCTTCCATCTAATGCTTGGAAGTGAAATTTATAGTGTGGAGGATTTTCTAAGTGGTAACATACTATTGTGAATCTACGTATCTGCGTGCTATGGTTTTTCAAAAATTAAATAAATGATTTAAATTTATTCGAAACAATTAGTCACAGACTTTCTTTTTACATATTTTTGTATACCTATATAAATTAAAATTGAAATAAAGTTTATACTTACTGTTTAAATCTAGCCTCGAGAACTGTGTATGCCAATTCCCTCGTTATACTTCTGGTTTGCCGGGAACTGATGATCTGAAAACATAAAAAGAGAGAATCACTTTAGCGAGTCTGTATATCTTCTGTATCTCTTCCCTGTCAACTCAACCGGAACTTTTACTTGTCGCATTTTAATAGCTAACTAGGTTTCGTCCGCGTCTCCGTCCTCGCGGAGTAAAAAGAACTTAGTAAGTAACCTATGTGTTAACAAAGAGTATTCATCAAGATTCGTTCAGTTTAAACTACGAACTCTAACAAACATCCATCCACACTTATGCTTTTATAATATTAGTGAAAAAGACGACATTTCTATCTTGATAAATTGACAGTACTATTCGTTCACTAGCATACATCTATGCTAGTATTATTAACAGGGAAGATTGGCATTTTTGGATTTTTGTATGTACTGCAATAGTTAAAAAACTACTGGGTCGATTTCCCAAATTCTTTCACCAAAAAGCTACGTTATCATTAGTAACATAGGGTACATTTTTTACTAATTTTCAACAGATAGTTCAATTTTAATTGTATATGTAAATATTAGATATTTTAAATAATTTGTACTTACTGGTAGATTAGGGAAGAGTACTTCATCTATCTCAGTGATGTTTGTAACCACGCTGTAGTTAGACTCGAAGTTGTAAGACACGAACACGTTCTTGTCCGGAATGTCGATAGGTACTGCTATAGCTACGAAAGTCTGGAACATATATTGAGATTTTTTAAATACATTTACAGTGCACATATATAAGATAATTACATTAAGCTCTACATAATCGTTTGATCGCAGTATGTAAATTTTAAAATTTCCTCTAACTTTAAAAAAGAGAAATCAGATATTTTTTTTGGATTAAATTGAAAATATAGGCAAGGCTTAAGCCCTATTTCCACTAACAGCACTAGTGGAAAAAGGCACTTAGAATCGATAAAGCTTAATGATTTTCTTCACTATTATTTACTATTAGTTTCTTCTATAGACGTTCTTTACATATTTCTGCTTTTATAACCAGTTTATTGTATTAAAAATAATGTACTTACCCCGTATAAACTGGTAGGTGGAAATATAAGACCTCTTTTCTGTATATCGTGGATATTCCCTTTACCAAACGTTGATAACATAGCGAACATTCTAAAATAATAAAGTAACATATAAAAGTTAAAAAAAGCTAAAAATGTATAAAGACGTGAAAAAAAGAATTTTCATATTCATGACTACTTTAAACATACTTCAATTTAATGAATTATTAATTGAGATATATTTAAAATAATGTTGTTATTTTACAGTAAAATAAGACCATTGTAGAATTATTTAGTAACTAGCTGTTGCTAGCGACTTCGCCGGCGATCAATTAAAAACAGTAAAAAATATAGCCTATGTTACTCACTGATATGGTGGTATTTAATGGTGAAAGAATTTTAGAAATAGGCCCAGTAGTTTTGAGTTATTTTAATACATACAAAAATTCAAATCCTTATAATATTAGAGATTAACATTAAAAATGTATGATAAATGAATGAAATATATTTAACTTACATAATAAATGTTGTACTTTTGTAAGCCATTTTGTTAGTTTTACACAAAACTGACAGTTTGTCTGTTGCCTTCAGATACACTTAACTTTTTTGAATGCCTCAAACGAAATGCCATCACTTCTTACAATGTTTACTGTTCAGAATTATCATCCATACGCTAACAACTAGTGCACAGTTTCAGTAAAACTACGTCAGACCAAGTAAAGTTGAATAGGCACTAGTACAGTATGAATTTTATAGTGATCTATAATATTTCCTCATATAAATACTAATGCATTAAAATACTTTTTCTATAAATAGTATGTATTTGTTTATTAAAGATATAATTGGTGTATCTTCGTAATATAGTTACATTTTGTAAGTGTTGCTTACCTAAAACATAATGTTACAGAAATACCATCCGTATTTACTGCCTATTATATAAGTTGTAATAAAAAAAACTTATAGTGTATCCGTATAATATTGGAGAGAATTAGATTATTCTAAAGCCATTAAAAATTTAGCGTGCATTTGTTGTTTCCGTTTTCGTATGATATTTATTAAGAAAAACTGATTGGTTTGTAGTAAATAATCAGTCATAAGGTTACCTAAATGCATATTAATAATTTTAGCTAGGCTATTTCATCATCTAAATTTATCGATGCACCATAATTGGTCGCATGTATAAGTCGTTTCAGTCCCGCTATGTGACAACAAGCTGACCGCAGCTAGTGAAATGAACCATTTCACTCGCTAATTGCCCTCGAACTGTCGGTTCCTAAACATTATACTTTTAGTATTACATTATATTCTCATCTTTATCATTCTCTATGAGATCAATAGAGATAGTAACACAAGTGTAACAGCAATGGAATTTCACGGTAAACATTTTAAGAGTAGACAAAGTGAAATTGGATTTTGTTTAGCACAATACAAAAATGTTTAGGCGCATGACCAAAATTTTTAACATCTGCAAGAAAGTTCCATGAGAATATAAGTCGATATTTGTGTCATCGTGACGTAGTTTTCAACTTACCAACGTTTATTCTCAAAGACAAATCAAACAATCACGATTGATAAAAATCTATCCGTCATCTTTTGTGATAAAGTACAGTCAGATATATAAACATGTTTACTTTTACAACACTTATATACTGTATATGCCTTCTCAAAAAACTCAGCAAATACTCTCCCGTAGATTTGCGACTATGAACACGTGGATATTTTAGTTATAGCAAGTTTTGTTTTGTACAATTTTATGATGCTGACTGTACATCGACATTGTGAAAGAGATTGTTTTCTTTTAGGATTTAAAGTGGCAATGCCAATAACTCTTACTTTATTATATTTTTCTATCATATTCTTTTGCAATCATTTCCATCAACTAAAAGTAGACAAGCTATAAAACTGCTTACATATTTTAATGCTTTTATAACCCTTAATTAGTTACCATTACATAAACGTTTAGCAGTCAAAAAAAGTATGATATATTTTATTTTGGAATATTCAGTATTTAAATATCGCTAGTATGTTCAGTTGTGACGAATACTGGAAACGTAACGCCACACAAATATTCGCCATTGCATCAATTGATTGCATTCGGACATTCCATATCGTGGTCTTCACTATCTCAATCAAGGATTCAATTTAAACGTTGCGGCGGATGTCTACTTTATCTACATATTTTCAACCATTTTAATCTACATCTGGCATTATTGATTTTGATACATACGCTGCCTTGATCATGTTGACAGAATTAACAAGTAAATCTATACTATTATATTAAAGCGTAAACACACACTATTTTGTTGCCTAAGATCTCAGCAAATACAGCATATTTTTGAATAATTATTTTTTTAATAAAAAGCCATACACTTGCTTCACGCTTTAGGCTTTATATTTTAACGCCATTAAACTTAGGGGGTAAATTTGGATAAAAATCCCAATGTGGGAAAGAGACCATAAGTTGCTGCCAACATCAAGGAAGCAAGGTTGTCATCATGTCATGTCATTTTGACATATATAATTGATAATTTGACAAATGTAAACAATAAAATAAAACTTTCATGATTTCATGCGGATGTAGTCGAACGGGAACAGCTAGTTGGAGATAATTTTAAAGTATATTAGAAGATTACAAGCGCCAGTAGTCGATAAATTGAAAAGCAAAAGGTTAGCGTGGTATGGACATATGTGGCGAGATGACGAGGAGATAAACCAGAAAGTGTTAAGTGTAGAGAAAGACCGACGAAAGTATGGATGGATTGTGAAAGAGGATATGCTTAAGACGGGAATGAATTCGGATATGACGGCTAATAGAGATGTATGGAAGAACAAAACATACTGCCCCTCTGTAGGGTCAAGCTGATGTTGAAACTTGGAGCTAAGAGGCATTAAACATTTTAATTGTGTCTGGCGAGAGAGTGGAAAGATTTTTTCAAAGTTAACTAATATAGAATAATGTTTACAGAAAGATAAATCGATGAATGCAAGTGAAATTTATGCCAAAATGGAATGCGTTAACTCGCAAATCCATTCTATTCTGCCACAAAGTTACTCTTCATAGTAAGGTTTGGTTAAATTGTTTTTATGCCACGCCTGAAACGTAATAAAAGGAGGGGAAAATATTTCAGCTTGTATTATCCGTTTGATGTTTTCGGAACTCAATGCTTCCAGAATACAAACATCTTGGTATGTTTTATCATACTAATTTTACTTTATAATCTTACTAACATTATAAATGCGAATGTTAAGATGGATGTTTGTTACACTATGTAGCCTACAACTGGTTAGTTGGTTGGTGTTTGTAACTACCTGACGAATCTTAATGAAATTTGGCATAGATGTACAGGATAGTTTAAAAGAACAAATAGGCTGTTTACTTTTGTTTTTTCGAATTCCACGCAGAGTCGCGGGCCAAAGCTAGTAATGTGCTACATAGGTAGTAATGCGAATTAAGTCTCGGACAAAAACTAGTTTCTAATAATTTACGATTGTAATTTCGTAAACATATATGTGCTTTCTACTAAACGTCTTAATTATAATTCATATTACACATAAGCTTAAGACCAAGGAACTCCGTAAATTCATTTCCCCGTCTTCGAGCGATGAACTTAGATATTCGTTACTGCAGACTGCAGTGTTCGGAGTGCAGGGTGTAAGCAATTTAGCAGGATGCAAATATTTGCAGCGTCAGCCACAACGACGCGGCGCAGTAACGAGGTTTTGGTTGAACACCCGCATGTGAAACTATGTATAATTGTATTTTTCACCACATTTAGAGTTTTTGCCATGTAAGTGTTTTGATTTATACCAGTTAAGTGTTAATAATTTATTAATTACATAAATTGATAGCATGAGTTGAACTGAAATGTTTTGAACCCCTGCATTTATTTTCAAAACATCATACTAATATTATAAATCTGAAAGTTTAGATGGATGGATAGATGTTTATTAGAGTTTGTAGCTTAAACAGCTGAACGGATTTCGATGAAATTTGTCATAGATGTAGAGGATAATCTGGAAGAACACATAGTCTTCTCACTTTGCTGTTTTTTAATTCTATGCGGACGGAATCGCGAGCGAAAGCTGGTTAATTAATAATTCACTTAAATACCTATTAATTGTTCAATTTATTTGCATGTTTGTTTCGTAAGAGCGTGCTAGAGAGCGTGCTACTAACTATAAGTTTATATGGAGATGCACACAGTACTCGATTTTTAGTTGTGCAACTAAACAGTTAAATTTGCAGAGAAACAATTGACAATCGCACAGCAGGTTTGCGATCTTCATTTGTTTCGTTCTAAGGTGTGCGCATGCTATTAAAATCACATTTTACGGTCCAATCAACAAAAATGAAGACTAAACTAAATGTATTGATTTCTTTGCATGATATTTCATAACTTCAATAAATAAAATAATATAGTAAAATTGCTATATACTATGCTAACTATTCATGACTATTTATTGACAGTGAAATAAAATCAAGCAGACTAAAAGGGCAGTCGTGGTTATAATGAGTGCATTTGTCCTCCAATCCATAATATTCCGCTTCGTAGTAACAGTCCTCTATGTCGTTCTCCGAGATCGATGCCGACGGTCTGCAAATTGAAAAATTATTAACTTATTACATTGTTTAAAATATCTATTTATAACTGCAAGTTATTGATTAACTAGCTAACACTCGCGACTTTATCCCAGTGGATTGGAAAAAACTTAAGTAGCCTATGTGTTCTTCTAGATTACATTCCATGTAAAATTTTACAGAGATCGGTTTTAGGGCTACAAACATCCATCCATGTAAACTTTCGCATTTATTATTTTAGTAAGATAGATTTTATTTGACATTGATAATTTTATAATTGTACTCGTAATTAAATAAAAACTAACATAATTCCAAGTAAATTATTATGGTAATTATTTATTTAAATATTAGAGGTCATGAAATTGATACATTGATCTCTATAAATGGACAGGCTCATAAAACGCTATGTTTTATACTTATTTGATTTTTGAAATATTGGCGCTGTCGCATTTTGATTAGAACTCTAATTATTAAAAGATAGAATTAATTAACTAACGTTAATGTTTATATAGAAAAAAAGCAAAAACTATCTACTAGCAATGGCCTATCCATTTGTATAGATCAGTGTTTTTCCTTATAACACAATATGTAAAGTATTGAAAAACACCCATAAATACGTTGCATTAGAAATAGCAAATAAGCATATTAAAAATTGTTTCTTATATTTTATTTAAAGACTAATAAATAAAGCGATACACAGTTAGTCTGAATAACTTTAAAAGAAAACTTACGTAAGTATAAGTTGAAGCACGTCTCCCAGTACGCCGTTATGCCAGAAATGCGACGTGGAACCCTCGCAAATAGCTCTGAGCAAGCAAGCCCGCCCCGCCTGGCCGTGCCTGCGAGCGAAAATCACCCGATTAAACCAACCCACACATACATCCTTAAAGATTAATATCCTATAAAACTACCTACGAACACCTGATAACAGGAATTTGCTAACACTTTTTTTTCTTTTTAAAAAGCTCAGTTTGCTGTACTTTTAGTGCTTGTAGTGGATTCTTGTACGTTGTAGAAAGAGTTCTATTGGAAAATACATTGCCTTGATTGTATGGATTTTGTTAAACTACATTTCAATGAGGTATTTAGTTTACATTCTTTTATTCCAATACAGGGTGTTATTTTGTTCGAACAGTAAATTGTTCGTTTGCGTCATATTATTTTAAGAATATTAATTTTTGGCAAAAGAAAAGAATCTTTCATAATGGACTACTGAGGACAGCTTGGCTTGACATTGATACAATAATAAGTTTCTTCTATACAGGGTGTATTCTCGTGGAGGAAAAGATAAAGTAACGCAGCGTTTTTGATACATCCTGTACATCCTTTATGTCACATTTTGTTAAGAGAAATAAAAAGAAACATTTCCTTGTGACTGACTACAACTGAAAATAAAACTTTAAAGGTTCTGTGCGGAAGTGAGGCGATCATTCAACATACGTTCGACGTACAGCCTTAACCCCTGAATACATAATAGACTTATCCAGAACGTGATGTGTTTTAATATAATTTACATAACCACACCTGTTGGATTTTTTAATATTACTACGACTAGCTGTCCGCGACTTCGTCCACGCAATAATAAGATATAAAAGGAGCCTACAATATGCTCCTCTATGTCAGCTACCCATCAGTGATAGTCCAGTCTAAATCGGCCCAGTCGTTTCGGAGATTACCCGGAACACACGCGGCTGGACAGACAGGCAAACAGACAGATAATAAGAATTAAATGCGATTTTCATTATCGGCAATGCCAATACATCATCTTGCCCGAAATCTGGATTTTTTTTTGATATTACAAACAGACACACCAATTTTATTACATATATGTGGAAGATAAGACACTACAATAAACTTTAGACAGTTTGAAGTAAAAATTAAAGTGTTTGTTCGCTTTAAACTCAAGAACTATCAATTGAAACTAACTAGTTATTTTTGTATTTAAATAAATAAATATCAAGCATAATAAGAGCGTCGGTGGCTCAGTGGTTTGAACACTTGACTTGTAATCTACAGGTCTTGGGTTCGAATCCCGCTGTACCAATGTGATTTTCGATTTTTCGAATTTTCATATGTACATAATTTACCCGACGTTCTTACGGTGAAGGAAAACATCGTGATGCAACCTGCACATATCGGCGAAGAAATTCAAAGATATGTGTGAAGTCAACCAACCCGCACTTGGCCAGCGTGGTTGACTATGGCCTAGTCACCCCATATTAGGGTAGGCTCCGAGCCCCTCGGTGGGGACGTATAGTGAGCTGGTGATGATGATGAAGCATAATTATAGGGTATTTAAAATCACACAGCGGGCAGAAATCCCCGGTACAGACAATATTAAAAAAAACATAGATGTTAACTTCAATCCAAGACCCTTTCCAAAGTTTTTAAAAGCATGTCTTCATGTTCCTGTGTTATTTTTATGTTATAGTGTGTAAGCAGCGTAATCATTCAATCATTATGTATGTAGCTTCGCTAGGTAGTTTATGAACCGGTCAGTGAGCCATGTTCGGCAGCAGTACTGGATTACGTGAGTTAGGTTGCGGTCAACTTTATTAGTCTCTAATGTGACTCTCGCGAAATTATGACTTGGACTCTACCTTTAATACACGTATATTGACGACTATAAAACTAGTACAGGAAGTTTTATTCTGTAGAAAAATGTTACTGGTGTCTTGCACGAAATCTTTTATGTTACAGTAAATAGTAGAAACAAATGTTCGTAAGATGCGTCGTTTTTACCATTGGGTTGTTTTAGCTCTCGATATCGGCACAGTTGCATGCGCCATATTCACCGGCTGACTGAAGTGTAAATAAAAAGTATCTTACGAATTATATTAGTAAAAATCACGACAGTTTTAAATAGTGTAAATAAATGTAAACAAATAAATTATTTTTTTAATGTGTCTTTCAGATGGTTTTGCAAAATTATGTTTTTACGTATGTATTATTCGTTCGAGACTCATGCCTTAGACAAGGTAACATTCGATCATCACCATCGCTGATGGAAAAGTCAAGAATGTATGGAAATGACAATAACTTTCGATAAGGCACGTGCTTGTCACGTATTCATTCTTATACTTTTTGACACATTTTGTCTAAGGGGGCTCATAACGTAAACGTTGTACAGAGTTTGATGAGTTAGGTGTCACTTGATAGATATTTTTCCTAAGAGATTTTATGCATTGTTATTGATAATGAAATGTACTAGGGCATCATAAGTTGTGTATTGTAATAATTTAACTTACTGTTGAAGCATAGACTCAATAAAAGTGTAAACTTTAGAACGAGTCACGATGTTTGCTGGTGCTTTTGAACTTCGCTGGTTTCTTTTACTCGGAAACTGAAATTTTACGAAATACAATGTTAATAATTTGTTGCAAATGCTTTATCTTGTGACAAATAGATTACTAGGAAATATAACATTTATATTTCAAGACTTTTTTTTTGAGTCTATAGACATTTTAGTTTGTTAAAAATACTAATTTTGCTTGCATTTTTATCAATCTTACTTCTTACTTCTTACTAATATTATAAATGCGAAAGTTTAGATGGATGGATGGATGGATGTATGTTAGCGTTTGTCGCCTAAACGGCTGAACGGATCTCCATGAAATTTGGCACTGGTTTAGAACATATTCTAGAAGAACACATAGGCTACTTTTTATCCCGGGAATAGTTACGGTTCCCGTGAGATTCATTAATTTAGTTTTTTAATGTTCACTCGATTATTCTGCAACGGTTCACCATATCGTATTGAAATTTGGTACAGATATAAAACAAAGTCTGGAGTACACATGAGATAAGCTTCATCCCCGAGAAATGTCCGATTCCCGAGGGATACGTAGCTTTTTGTAATTTTTATACTTTGTATGTTTTCCAATACCACGCGTACGAAGTCGCGGGCAACAGCTCGTTATTTATAAACTTACTCTTTTATCGTAGTCTTTATGAGTCTTAGAGGGTACTCACGCCTAAACTAAACTATCGCACAACTGTCAAGTCTCGCTTTGACTCCTATCATTATATGGAGGTGTGCACACTACTCGATTTTTAGTTGTGGTAATAAACAGTTGAAAAAACTGCCAAATAATAGACAATCGCACAATAGTTGTGCGATACTTTAGTCAGAGGTGTGCGCCTCCTCTTATACTTACTTCTACATCACCAAGTAATGGTTGAAAATACGTCGCATTTGCCACGTTGTAATAGTTGGCTTCGAAGAACCAAGCGACGCTTACGAGAGATCCAGCTTTTAAAGGAACCGACACGGTTGTGAAAACCTGAAATAAATTGTGATTTAGAAATTTTAACTTAAAAAGTTACATGAATATTACAAGTTATCAAGCAAGTTATTTTTTATTTTCCAGTATTTAATCATACTAAAATTAAAAATGCGAAAATTTAGATGGATGGATGGATGAATGGATGTTGGTTAGAGTTTGTAGCCTGTACTTAGCTTACTTATATAGCCTAAATTTGGTATAGATGTAGAGGATAGTCTGGAAGAACATATAGGCAACTCACTTTTGTTTTTTTAAATTTCACGCGGACGGAGTCGCGGGGGAAAGCTAGTATCTCATATTGAACAAAGTTTGTTTTCAAAACGTCTATGGTTTCAAGATAAAAATATTGAAAAAGGAAAGATAAATGGCAAGAGGGAAAAGAAAAAGCTTGAAAGATTTAAATTTTCCTTAATGTTTAAAATTGTTTTTGTGACTTCTTGTTACAATAGTTCAATAAGAACTAATGAACTAAGGCCTAATTTTGGTCCCTTTTCCTTTACACCCTTTTCTTAAGAGGGACGGATGGGAAGGAATTTAACGGTGGAGGAGACGCATAGGAAGAGGAAAATCCTCTTTATTTGCGTCTCCTTCCAGTCGATTAAGGGTAGGCAACGCATCTGCAATTGCGGATGTTCATGGGCAGCGGTCGCTACGCCATTTCGGCGGTTTCAAGTAGTCGTTTGCTCGTTTGCCACCTTATAATATATAAAAAAAACATAATCATATGCAAAGCATTAGAAAAACATTTTTTACAAATGAATACAAAATGCTTCAACTTCATAACAATGCGTTAGACATTGTAACCCCTTGCTACTAACATAGGACTCTGGTATAAAACATAAGTGCTCGTTGAAGCTATTTCTAATAATTAATTATTAGAAATGATTTCAATAAGCCAATTATAATATAATTGTTGATTTACAACTAGTTTTAATTCTATATTTATCTATACTTAGAGTCTATCCCACAACTGGCTGATAGAGGCTCAGATAGCTTCAAAATGACGTCACTATCAGATAATGTAACAAAATCCGATATTTCCATCACATATTTTACACGTTGGATTGTTATCAGACAATTTACAATTTGGTTGGACAGGTCCTTAATATTATAAAGAGCAAAGATATGTATTTTTGTATGTATTGAAATAACTCTAAAACTACTAAGCCAATTATAAAAATTCTTTCACTATTAAAAAGCTACGTTATCAGTGAATCACATATTTTTATTGCACGCGACCGAAGTCTCGAGCAACAACTAGTAATTTATGCATTTGGTTGTAAATTGATTTAAAGCTTTATTTTTTTTTAAATTCAAATACAAAATATATATTGTATACTTACGCCCCATTGGGTATTTGGAGTGAAGAGCAAATAACGCCTTTGTCTCCCGCTCCCGGCGGCATTGTGTCCATTGACCGAAATATTCAACAGGCAAAAACTGGAAATCAATAACAAATTACATGACAATGCTTTTAGTTGTCTATCTGTTTGTACAATCACCAGTCTTTGTTTCAATATTATTGAACTAGCTTTAGTCCGCGACTCCGTATGCGTGGAATTAAAAAAACTAAAGTAGGTAGCTTATGTTCTGCCCGAATATCCTCTAAATGTATGCCAAATTTCGCATTTATAATATGAGTAAGATAAGGAGTAAGACTAGGATAAGATTTTTGTACAGAGTATAATATAGACGTTGGAATTACGAAAGAAATCTAAGTAAAATATAAAGTATACGATAATTTTATCAAAATCTGCCAAGTTGTAAGGAATAGGCGAGGAACAAACACTGATTACTGATTTTTTTTGGGGGGGGGGGGGTTTGGGGGGGAAGTTCTGATTGGATATTAATACACACACATTATATTAATTCAAAATTTTGATAGACATCCTCAATTGCAGATTCAGAGGAGACGCACTTATAGATGAATTTTACCCTTCCTATGCGTCTTCTCCACCGTCAAATCAACTTTCCCATCCAATCCTTTCTTTATAAGATAAAAGTGGAACGGGAAAGGGATAAATATTGGACCCCCGGAACCACACTCATCAGACGAAACACGGAATTGCCTCCACTTCACGCCTGTCTTCAGTGTGGTCGTGGTATTGCAGCGGGCGAGCCGTGCGAAGTATTAAAGAGGGCTCCCCCACTGTTAGGTCTTGAAGTTTACAATAAAAAAATATTCATCTAAAGATATATGAAGTCACTGCGTTATTAATTTACTTAGGATGTATGTGTACAAGAAAATATATGTATATTAAAATTTCTACGTACGAAATAACAGTATATGTTATCCACATAATAAAATCCTTACTTTAAGAAAGCGACTGAACAACTTGAAATTTACCATCTGTATGTTTCGAGAAAATTGCTACAGCTAAAGATCAACAAATAATCCGCAAATTATCGTTAATCCGATTCAGCTCATACGTCATTGGATTAAGGTTCATTTCAGGGTGGAAGCGAAACTTAAAGCCAGAGTTAGGGATTTACAGACGTCAGTTAAAGTGTGAACATACGTGTGGATGACGGTCGGCATTAGACGTCAGTTTGGACAACAAATTTGTTCTGTCGTCGTCTTACAAGACCTTGTACAGACATTAAAATGTTCTGACTTACATTTCTCCTTTTACTGTGTATTTTGATACCTTATAAGTCACGTCGTCAGCCATTTCTTTCTTTTTAACACTAGTCTTATGGAAAGTTATTCGTATGTTTGAAATAAATTAACGAAAAAAAAATCTTTCACTAGCAAATAGTTAAATTATCTCTGAATTATATAAAATATCTATACTTCTATACTAATATTATAAAGAGGAAAGAATTGTAATTTTGTAAGTATTGAAATAGCTAAAAAAAGTACTGGGTCGATTTTTAAATTTCTTTCACCAATCGTAAGGTCATTTATCTGTTACATAGTTTTTAATTTCACTAGTGCAATTTCGCGAGTAATAAGCGGAAGTAAAACTTAAAATGTTACATTATGTAAATTATATGAAAGAAGACATACCCGGAACATTGTATAAATGTGTTGTTTCATTTCACTAACATTCAATGCATGCTTATCGTCCTTCAAGAAGCGATGTCTCTTTATCAAAGGCTTCGTAGTTCCTCTGGTATTGCAGATGTCATTGGTCGATGATCACTTTGGTGTTCCCACACTCATTTCTCTAAAAGTAGAACAAACTTTTTGACCAACATTAAAATAAAATAAAACGATTGTTTAAATAAAACTTTAGGATAAGATTTGAATAAAATTGTTACAATAATCTTTCGTACACAATTTACATAAATAGTTTTTTACATCACGTTTGTAACAAACATTGTTATATTAACATTTTATTTGAATACCCGCAGTTATTATTGCGGGTATTCATATTATACGGCTTTTTATATTAAGTGTGTCCTACGAGTACTTAAATTCAGTTGTTTATTTAAGAATAATTAACCAGTCAAACTGCTGAGGTATAAACGAGTGGTCCTTTTAATAGCATGTTTTTGTAATAATAAGTGACTTACGTTAATTAAATTTTATTACTTGTGAGCAGGAATTCTAAACATGTTTGTTAGATATAACTTAAAAAATAGTGGGCCGATTTCAATAATTCTTTCACCATTAAAAAGCTACGTTATCAGTGAGTAACATAGGCTATGTTTTTTTATTATTTTTTAATTCACGCAGACGAAGTGGCGGGCAATAGTAGTGTATAATATTGTAGCTTGCAAAGCAACGTACACTGTACGATCATTTTGTCGCCGATTGCTTGTAGTTTACCAAACAAGTGCTAATTGACTGGCAAAGTTAAACTAGAGTATAAACTATATCTAGGGCTCAGCTTTGATTGGTCGCCTCGTTTGAATACCTTATTTAATCAGGATCAGAGTATATATTTGTTTGCTAATCTGAAAGTTGGATCACTCATTAAGTTACTTGTTCGAAGATTTGGTTTATGTCCGGTTTCCCAGCTACGTTTAACCATTCGAACCATTTAACCACACCAACTAACCAACTATCTAACTTGAGTTTTCGTCCGTCGTAACATAGATTAACCTAACACTAACGAATCAATAGGTGATGACAATTGATTCATGAATAATAGCTTAATTAAAATATCTTTAACATCTATGTCTTTATATATTCTTCATACTCTTCATTTTAGACCATACATGTCGTCGCTTTCAGTTATATTTGCAATAGTATGAATCTTCAAGTATAGAAGTGCTGACCTATTCCTTCCTAACATGCACTTAGTTTAACTAACCTCACTTTCTCTTACATTGACACACGCAAAGATACACTCACAAACACAGCACACACATAAACACTCAAACAACGCTCCAATAAAAAAGGAATTTAATTTTTCTTTTTTTTTTCTGTCAATTTTATAACGAGCTAATTGTAATGCTTCTTTGTTTTTTTATTTAGGCACTTATGAATTTCTTTTCACAAACAAGGAAAGGGGAAAGCACTGGGAACCTAGTGCACGAGTCAAGGCTCCCATGAAATGTATATTTTTTAAAGAGTTAAATAATAAAGTATTTATTTACTATATTTTCCAAGAGACAATAGATTAAAATAATATTTCTTCAATTAAATTGAAGTTTACTTATAGTGCAAGTTAAATATAAAAGATTCCATCTTGAATATATAGTTGTATTTTTCCAAACACTCGCTTCAACGTCGAGTCGACCGCATCAAAGGAAACCTCTCTCGTTCTATGGCCAATTTATTGAAATGAAGGGTTTAAATGGGATTCTGCGGTCGCATTATATTGCTGTTTGATATTTACATTGAAACGTGCCCGGATAATTTCATATTAACTTGCTGAACTTGAAAATATCATCAATTCTTAATAGTACGTCTAGTATTTGGGAATGAGAGAAATGGAAGTTTATTGTGTTAGTAGGTAATGACAACTGTTTACTTGTATCTACCGACATACATTATTCAATATGTCACAGAATATTTATTTTTATAAAGAAACAATTGAAAGAGAACATTGTAATTTAAATAACAACCTTACCTAATATAACGAGTATAAATGAATTTAGATGGCTGGATGGACATTTGTTTGAGTTTGTAGTCTTAACTGCTGAACGGATCTCTACGGAATTTAGCAAAGACATAGATGATATTCTGCAAAAACACATAGGCTACTTACTTTTATTTTTTTAATACTACGCAGACGAAGTCGCGGGCGAATGCTAGTTTAAAATATATCGTAGGAGTGTCTACAAGAATGTAAATGTACAAATGGAAAATTGTGTCGAATCAAAACTGTTTACAGTACCATACCAATACATCGAAGGTCGTGTTAGTTCAGACCATCACATACATAGAACGAGCAACTAGGTCGTTCCGTACAGCCCCAAATCGTTGGGAAAACATAACGGTTCATTAGCCAAGCCGAAGTCTCTAAGCAAACATTTCACATTTTATCTTACACCGTATTCACACATCGACGGCTCTGTACGTTTGGTACACAAGGAAAAAAAAATCGATCGAATGATGTTGCTCGCGTTTATTTTGCTCAATTTACTATCAACGTTTGCCAAAGCAAATGTACGACAAAGAAGATATCTCGTTTACCCGGACGGTGGGCCGGCCCGTGCTCAGGTATTCTATTTCATTTTATTTTCTAAATGAATCGCTGATTTACATAGCGTAGTTGATTTTAGCTTAAGGAGATTATGTTTTCTTTGCACACGCCAACCGGCTTAACGAAGGCGTGCTCTTTTTGTCTCTTCGCGAATTTAAATTCGATTTACTCTTTGCTACATTTTTGCGAGATTGATTTAAGCTGTCAAATTTGTCTCTTGCATACTTTTTATTAATTTAATTACATTTGTCTTGTTTTCCTAAAACTTAGTCTAAAGTACTTCGGTTGGGTTTTCTTAGTTGTTTAAAGAGGATTGTCTTCAAATTTCAGTTCATCATTGGTGTGGGTGTGCCTGTTGATTTAAAAGAAGCATCAGTTACTGTTGGAACAGTCATTAAATTTCAATACGATTTACCAACAAACAGTTCTGAATACACGAGTCGAATCTATGGATTCGCGAACACTGTATCCAGAGATATGGATGGCGATGGCAAAGAGGACGATGAGAAAGAAATTGATGACCATAAAGGAAACGAATTACTCGAAAATGATAATGATAATGATACTTTAGTTGATATAACTTTTGATGATAGAAGGAAAAGATCGATTATGTTCTCTGAAGGAGGATCGATAAATAACATAGATGTATCGAAAACAAATCAAATTTCGCTTGAAGAAGCTATAAGACGACAAGAAATGATAGACCAAAAGCATAAAGATGAAACAGAGCCACAAAGAATGAATAGATGGGACTTCTACAAAATCATAGAGCATATGGCAGAAAGGTAAATGAAACATAACTTTTATTTTAGACTAGCTGTTCCCGTGCGACTACATATATTCGCATTCAATTTTGTGGGTTTTAATTTTTTTTTTGTTAACATTTGTCGAATTATCAATTGCAAATATCAAAATGGCATGACATGATGACAAACCATGGCAACCTTGCTTCCTTAATGTTGGCAGCTTGTAGCTTATGGTCCTTTTCCCACATGAAACGCCACAAAGTAGTGTATGTTTACGCTTTATTATATTAGTATAGATATGTAGTATTGTAGAATTGAATTGATAAATGGATTTTGTATTACAATCAAGTAATATATTTCTTATTTGTTTAATGTTTTAGGTAATATACAAAGTCTTATCCTTTGAAAGTTAATATTTAATTTCACGAAATTGTCGTATAAAGTAGAATTTATTGCGTTGATCTTTGATTTGTTTGTTTCAACTCGTCTGTGATCAAGTTCGACAACTTGACAAATCCGATCTCAGTGTTTGACTTTTTGTTTTTGTTTGTTATGAGTTGTTCACAAAGTAACGGGTTATTAGGTGAAATTTTATTGGAATTGTAAGAATTACTTTCATGTTTTTATGATTCAATCGACTTGTGATCTTAATTTTGGGTTTTAAATAGACAATGAGAAAGAAAATAAACGTAGATTCGACAACTAACGATGCAAATGATATAATTTCTTGAAGACAGTAAATTCTTTTGATTAAGATTCTTTCTAAAACAACAAATCGATTTTAGCTATTTCTAGTAACAAACGAAAGTTAAAATAAATATTATGATACAGAAAATTCGTAAGCCTTATATTATCTTAAACGTTACATCGTAATAACGTAAGAAATTTCGCAGGTACGGTTACTCTGGTAGACCTTGTCTGCTCAGGACGATCTGCGAAGCGGCCGAGGTTCCCTTCACACATGAAAATGGTTTACTTGGAGAAATAGGTCATATAATATTCACGTAAGTATCACAGTTGAGGAAAGTTGATATTTTTTATTCGTAGCTGAACACCCAGATTAAATGCACACTTATTTTATTATCAACTAACTGTTGCTCGCGATTTTGTCGGCATGAAATAAAAAATTAGCCTATTACTCAGTGAAATCGTAACTTTTTAATAGTGAAGGAATTTTTGAAATCGGTTCAGTAGTTTTAGAGTTATTTGATACATACAAAAATACAAATATTTCCTATTTTTTATATTAGTATAGATTGTAATTGATTTAAAAGTTTTAATTTGTAATGAATGCGTCCTTTGAACCTGCTTTTATGCTTAGAATTTCACTCCTGGTGAATCAAATTCGATTATTCTTTTTTTTTTTTAAAGCTAGACATTGTAGTGCTGTTAGTTTAAATTCTACATGACATTAGCTACGTTATTAGCATTATATAACTTTAGTTAAAATACCTAAGTCTTATTGTGATATTGTTTTTCAGACCGTCCACAACCAAAGATCCTGTCTCCCATCATACGGATACTGAATACCACGCCGCAGAAAGACTGGGCAGAGAAGCAGAACAGGATTGCGAATCTTTCTTTCCGGAATGCGAGAGTTCCGTGTTAGAAACCTTTACTGAAATCGGAATGGATACTTTACATAAATTTGGCTTGATGTAAATAAATTTTGACAACTTTGTTTTGTAACGATTTTTTTTCCTTATGATCTTGAATGCTGCGTTTATGATATAATATGTGTACTCTTGCTTTTTGTATAAATGTATAAAATCTAGTAATTTTTGTGAAAAAGAGATTTAAAGGTATTGGTTTTTGACTGTGTTATTGAAGTGTTGTAAATAGAATAAAAAATGGCGTTCAAACTTCATCCTAAATTTAATCGTATCTATAGTTTATATGCAAATTAAAATTTAATTAAATAGAGAAAAATGCAGTGTCCCTTCAAGGTCGCATCAGTTCCATATTTGTTAAGTGACCCTTTATTAACATTTAGGGTGTCTTGAATCATTAGACTACATCATAGTACAGTATGAATTGAAATGACTTTTCCACGAATGTGTAAAAGAGACGACAAATACGAAGTATGTCAAAACGTACAATAATTTTTTGAGAAGACATTTTAATAGTTTCACAGACATTGCTTCAAGAAGATAATTCCTTCATAATATTCAAAGTTTCGTAGCAAAATTACTTCGTTAAAGATAAAAGAAGTTTAAGATTGCTTGTTCTGGCACTCAGATAGTAAGAATTCTTTAATATTCCCGAATAACAGTTACATGTTGAACTATTTTAAATTTTTAAAATAAAATGAAACGTCATTTGTTTAATTTGTTCCACATATTAAGAGGTGGCGCACATCTTTGACTGTTACACATAAATGTGCGATTGTCGAATGTTTTGCAGCCCATTCGACTGTTTAGTTGCACAACTGAAAATCAAGTAGTGTGCGCACCTCCATATAAGCTTAGAGGAATCAAAGCGAAACTAAACATTTCTGCGATACTCGTAGTTTAGTCAAAGGTGTGCCCTAGTTTATTTGTAGATCTAATATAAATAATAGTGGGGATAAATTAAATTAATTATTAAGTATACAACATCTGCTATATTTTAGCTTTGAAATGTTTTATTGTTCAGTACTGAAAATGTTTCAGGAAGGCATCCTCTTATAAATTGCTTTTGTCAATTTCCATTTTCCGACTGTCGTAATCTAATTTATTGCTGTTTACTCGCAAAATAAACTTTCGTAAAACTTAGATGGCTTTTACGAGATTTTGTATTTTTATAACTAAGTGAAGAGATAACTTAAAGAGCTTACATTGCCAACTTAGTAATATTGTTAAGTTATAATTTATCTCAAAGAAACCATTTCGTTCCTTACAATAATGGCAAATAGAATGTAGATTTAATTGACTTGAAGATAGATGTAATTTACTAGCTTTTGCTCGCGACTCCGTCCGCGCGGAATTACAAAACAAAGATGAGCAGCCTATGTGTTCTTCCAGAGCATCCTCTACATCTATGCGAAATTTAATCGAACTCTGTTCAGCTGTTCAGGCTACAAACTCTAACAAACATCCATCCATCTAAACTTTCGCATTTATAATATTAGTGAGATGAGATAGTAAGATTACGGTTAAGGTATATTTTTTTATTCTTTGAAATAAAACATCGGGTTCTTTCTTTACTTATTAGAGCGTACCCATCTTTGACTAAACTATCGCACAACTGTTTAGTCCCGCTGTGATTCCTATGAGCTTAAATGGAGGAGGAACTGTTGAATTGGCTGCGAAACAATCGACAATCGCACAACATTTATGTGATAGTTTATTTAAGGTGTTCGCTTGCTCTTACTATTATCTTTAGAACGTATTAGAATACAATAAATGAGATTTTAGTTATAAAAGCTAACACTTTTATTTACAAGAGCAAGGGGAAAAAGGTGTACAATGTGATCAACGTAATTTTAAACAAGAAAAAAATTACTTTCAGTTAATACATACATCATACATAGTAATATTTGAATAAACAAACAAACTTTTTTATTGTAAATATGCTTAGATTTATATTAGTTTTCTAAAAAAAAAAACTAGCACTAAGACGGAAGAACCCTGGCTCCTACAAGACGGGCCTAGAGCCTAGTGTAGGAACCTGGCGATCGACCACAATTGTATTAAAAGAAATTTTGTAACTTTATAAATAAATCTTTAAATGTTTTTTTTTTAATACTATTAACATGTTATGAGTACGTAAAGATTGCATAATGCGTCGTTTCATGTAAATATGAATATTGCAATAAATTATTAAACGCCAATTAAATATTTACGGTCAGTGCGAATTGTTTGATTTTCATCAAGCGATCGACTGATTCCGCTTAATTGATTGGCTAGTTATTATTATTGACTTTGGTTATTTGCTCCAGTTCAAGATTTGTAGATACAATTGCCTAGTGTTTATTGATCGAAGGCTAATGGAAGACGTAATGAAAATCATCGAACCAATTAATTATTACAGCTCACATCTGAAACGAAACTGTTTAGTTTCGCTTAATCCTCATTTATATGGAGATGCAAACTATTCGATTTTTAGTTGTGCAACTCAACAGTTGAATTGGCTGCGAAACAATCGACAATCGCACTACATTTGTGCTATAGTTTAGTCAAAGCTGTATATCCGCTCTTATTTGGACTACGACCACCGGAGACAGACCTGTGGATGACATTCGGCATCTCGCGATGTGTGTTTACCGGAGGATAATTATTCTATTACTTTCACTCTTTTCTTATAAGACAAGGACTGACCTGATAGAGCAGGGGATCCCTAGATGGGATATACTCTCCTTCTGTATTCCCCCGTAGATTCAAGAATCTACAAGCAAGAGATTATCTAGAATTACGCTACATATTCATTTTGAACTTCTACTCACCCTGTATGTATGAATGTTTATTTTCTGTCTAAATTAATTACGTTGCTTTATAAAGGATATAAAACGTATATTTTTTTGTGTCTGGCTCATTCAATTTCATATAAAAACACATGTGGTTGAAAAACGGTAAATCTGCCCCGCGTTATGTTTGTAAAATGCGTGGACTCATTAGCTTAGGGCCACCGTTATGCTTTCTACGCCACTCGCTGACCCAGATTGTAAAACGACCCAGATAAAATTACGACTGACCGATATACTTAATTTTTGAAACGTTTTATCTACACCCCCTGTTTATGTTAATTAGGTTGTTAGCAGAAGTATTATGATAAAAAAAATAAACTTTAAAGCTTATATATTTACTTTAAAACTGTTACAACTATATACATAAAATAAAATTGGAGTGTTTGTTTGTAATATCAAAAGAAACATTTCAGTTTTGGAGAAGATGATGTATTTACGTTGCTGATAATGAAAATCGCATTATTTTGTTTTTTCTATCTGTCGGTCTATCTGTCCGCTAGCCGCGATATTTCCGAGTAATCTCCGAAACGGCTTGGCCGATTTCGACGGGACTTTTACTGAAGGCTAGCTAACATAGGCATATTATAGGCTACTTTTTAAATTCCGCGCTGACAAAATGGGTCCAAATTTACGCTAAAGAAGTTTGCGAGCGACAGCTCGTTTATTATGGACATGTTTAGTTTGATGTATTCGTTCTCTTTGGTAAAGGAGTTTATATACAGCCAATGGAGTACTGGCCACTAAGTTCGATGCACCTTGAACAGAATAAAAAAGTAATATTGCCGCAGATATGGTCACAGTTTAGGGTTGCAATAAAAATAATTATCAGATTTAACCAGTAAATAAAAGTAGTAAGATAGTTATCAATGTCGTTTAATTGAGTAAACATATCAATAAGGGAAATACCACAGTCGTTAAATTTATCATAGCACTGTTCAACGCAGGAGCCAGATTTGTACGCGTCGATATAAGGAGTTGCTTCAGGTATTGCAGTGCCATCGTTGTCATTTTCAGGACTGAAAATAATAACATTTCATCATCATCATCATCACCAGCTCACTATACGTCCCCACAGAGGGGCTCGGAGCCTACCCTAAAGTTAGGATGACTAGGCCATAGTCAACCACGCTGGCCAAGTGCGGGTTGGTCGACTTCACACCTATCTAAGAATTTCTTCGCTAGTATGTGCAGGTTGCATCACGATGTTTTCCTTCACCGTAAGAACGTCGGGTAAATTATGTACATATGAAAATTCGAAAAATTGAAAATCACATTGGTACATGGCAGCGGGATTCGAACCCAAGACCTGTAGATTACAAGTCAAGTGCTTAAACCACTGAGCCACCGACGCTCTTTTAATAACATTTACATTGTCATAAATATTTTCTACGCGGTAAGAACTAATCGAATTCAAAATGTTGGTTTTGCATTTAACAATTCTATTATATGAATGGAAAGGTTTGTTAAAGAACTTAGTATAGATGACAATAAAGTTTGAGAGTTACAAGCTATGGCTTTTCTTAGATTAGACAGTAAGGAATCAAATCCTTAATGTGATTGAGTTCCAATTACTTATCTACGGTATCAAGATGGTGATGACTAAGTGATCGTGGTAATGTCACCGATTTATTAGCTTTTATGTTTGTGAATCTTAAGATAATGTATGGAAACTAACTTAAGTACGAATGTTGCTATTTCATGCAGTAGATCCTCGTCGTCATCAACATGCAGTGGTTCAGCGGCCAGTTGACAGAGAGTTCTCAACACGCAAGATGATCCGTTGTAACCAAAGCTGGAAATAATACTAAAGTTATGTTCGATTACTTAAATGTCTATAGATGTTATTGCATTTCATCATAACCTTATCCTTGTGGATACGGAGGGTCGGCACAGTCTATGCTGCACATTTGAATTCACTCTCAGAAGCATATCCTCTTCCACACAATCCATTCATACTTTCTTCGGTCTTCCGTATTTTTCCGTATTATAATTAACATATTCATATTTCTATTCAATAATTGCTGAAATTGTTTTTCATTCTTATACCAATTAAGGAAACTATCAGCATTTTGATTACTGATCTCGTATCAAATTTCACCTTTTAGCAGCCTTTGCTATAATTTTTTAAATATATTATGATCTGATGGTATTACATCAAAATCTTGGAATAAACAACACTTCAGAAATGAAAATACAATTACAGAATGAAAAAGGAGTTAATAATGTTTACCCATTTAAAACATCTTCAACATATTTATAGAAGTGATACAACTTGGCATCGTTCTGATAATTTTCTGGCTGAGTAATATCATGATCAGATTTTTCATCATTTACTTCTCGTTTCCTTCTAGAGAATCCAGGATAACCAGATTCAGCTTCTAGTATATCTAATGGTATTTGAGACCTGTTCCATGGTAGCTGGAAATTTGCTTGAAAAGCCCAGTTGAAGTTAATTGTCTTTATAGGTGTTGGTGTGCCAACACCGGCGTTGAACTGCAATTTGCAAGACAAATTAACTAAATAAAATATACAATTTATCCCAAGACAAGAAGTTTGTGAATTTATACCTATATCTGTGGGCTTTATGTCTTTCCTCTTATCTTACTTCTTACATATATTATAAATGCGATAGTTTGGATAGATGTTTGTTAGAGTTCGTAGCCTAAACTACTGAACGGATCTTCATTAAGTTTGGCATTGCTGTAGGGAATAGTCTGGAAGATTACATAGGCTACTTGCTGTTATTTTTTAATTCCACGCAGATGGAGTCGCGAAAAAAAGCTAGTGCTTTTATAAAAACAGACAGATAAATGTTTTTGTAAACTAGAAGTATGTTTTTGTGATCTTACCTTATCTTGAATTTATGTAAATAAAATTGCAGTACTTTCTAAAAGTTGTCGAAGATATGACTAGAGTTTTTCTTAATGTATAACAGTTTAGGAGAATAATTTAAGTCCAAAAGCTGTGACCTATTTGAATAGTAGAGGAAACCCTTTTTCCCATTAGTTCCGACACTTTTATAGAAACAGCACAAAGTTTATGTGTTAGATGTCTACGTAATCGTACCATTACAGGACATTAAAGAATCCCTCGGGATTGTTTTAGGCGCTATTACCATAATAAGAGGTTTCTAGAGAAATTTATTTCGTGATAAGACCAGTCCGAGAAAATTTACGAGATAAGGGGAATAGGATATAAAAATGTTAACGGATATACATGGATTTTTACTATTTGGTAAATACGGTTTTCTGTGTGTGATAATGTTGTAGCAAAGATGAATTAGATATTTAGCTAATATTATTTCTCCTTCTTTCTCGTTTTTAATATAATTGATGAAGATGACGTCACTGTACAAATTAATTATTAAATTTTCTAGTTATTGCATTGTAAAATCTTGAATTATAAATATAGTTTTACTTGTAGCCCATTTTATACGATTGCACTCAAAGTTAAGTAGTCACAAAAGAAGTCAAATCTTATCGATTTAGTAAACTAACTATCGCACAACTGTTTAGTCTTTCTTTGATTCCTATAAGCTTATATGTAGTTGCGCTCACTACTCGTGCAACTAAACAGTTGAATGGGCTACAAAACAATCGACAATTGACAATCGCATAACAGTTGTTATAATTTAGTCACAGATGTGTGCTCTTAAACATTACCGAGAGGCGGCAGATAGAAAAAATAAATTAAAATTATGCTTACTTGAAAAAGAGTTGAATTAGGAAACAACAGTTGTCTTCTACTTCTTTGTAAGACATCATTTTCTATGATAGAAACACTAGCGTATATCTTTGATATGATAATACAAAGTACGATGACCAATTGTTTTGTACACATGTTATTAAACCGACGTTCATGTATGAAGTGAACAATAGAAAGGTCTTTAACTGCGTCGATTACGTGTGAAGGCATCTAAATACAGTTATAAGTAACTGCGAATATTTTTTGTTGCGGAAGTTATGGTTTTACAATAATATTTTCTACATGATTCTGTTTTCTTTTTATAGGTAACTAGCTATTCCCGTGCGGCTTCACCCGCATAAAATTATGTAAATTTTATTTCATTGTTTACATTTGTCAAGTTATCAATAGAAAATGTCAAAATGACATGACATGACAAACAGCATTCTTGCTTTCAGCATCTTGCTTATTTTGGCAGCAACTTATGGTCTCTTTCCCTAAAGGGAGACGTAAGTGTAGGGCTTTTTATTACAAAAAGAATTATTCAAAAATATGCTGTAATTGCTAACATCATATGCAACAAAGAAGTGTGTGTTTACGCTTTATTATAATAAAGTATAGATTAAACCATGAATTAGCTAATAAACGTATTTTTAGATTATTTAAAGTACATATATTTTAAATTAATATAAATAGGTTGCCTTTATTTATATCTTTGTTTCATAATTTTTCGTACAAAATTATCAGAATTAAATGTTTATATTTATTATTGCTATTTGTTACGGTTAAAAATATATTTACGACACGTAGTAAGGATGTCTTCATAAGCTATTGAATGCAATGTCTTGAAACATGTTTATTGAAGAACAAACAAATTAGGCTGCTGTCAGAATTGTGTAGTCATGTGACTATGATTTAGAAAATAAACATGAGTACACAATACAGAGATTAAAATTTAAAACTGCATTTCACTGGAAAAATATGTGATAAAAGTAAATTTCTTATTATTGTTTTTACTTCAATCCAAAAGGCTGGAACTATGATAAAATTAATAAAGTAAAAAAAGCCCAACATTTTTGTTTTCGTTTGTAGATGGCTTTGAATTAATTACTGAAACCTAAATAAGATTACAAAACTGTCTTAATTATTTTATTATTTATTAAAATAAGAAGACAGTTTACAAATATTTTGAGTAATTATTGTGTAGATTAATGTAAGCACACCTTTACATTTAATGCTATACAGTGTCTAACCAAAGAATATGTCTTCAACTGTGAAGTTGACTTGAAATGCACATTAGTGTGGGTTCCCACTAATACGTATTTAACTGACTTCTCTCTTCTTCACATTTGATAGGACAAATGTCTATATCAGTTGAAGTTCTTGTTTAAAAGGCGAAAAAGTATTTAGACTCATTAGTCTAGTATTCCGATCACTTTCGTCGAGTAAATCATTAAATTTTGAAATGGGGTACACGGGCTGAGTTTACCAGGACGAAAACGAAGACCGGGATGAAACTAAGAGGACGGTGTACTCAAGGAGTTGGTTAACGATGAAATAAGTCATGGACAAATTCAGACTAATAATACATTTTTCAGGTGAATAATAATTGTCTTACTATAAAATGAATGCAAACATTAGTAATAACTATTTATTAATAGAGTATTTACATATTCTAAAAGTGTTAGTATAATTAGTCCGTATATGTAGATACATCCAATAACGATAAAGAGCAAGCAGCTATCGACATTTTACAGTCTTGTTCAGATTTATTGTGCCATTTTTCAGTAGTCGCTGATTTTTTCCTAAAATAAATAATATTTAATGAATTATTAAAGTCCGACGCCTCGAAAATCTTACAAATAATTTAAATACGAAAGTTTAGATGGATAGATGTTTGTTAAAGTTTGTAGCCTAAACGTTTGAACGGATGTCGATAAAATTTGACATAGACGTAGAGGATAGTCTGGAAGAACACATAGGCACAATTCATTTTTTTTTAAATTTCACGCAGACGGAGTCGCGGGCGAAAGCTATTAATTAATAAAACTCATAAGTATTTATTAAATCTAAAAGTTAATACAATTATATATTGTATTGTGGAAACAAATATGTGTTAAGTTGTTGGTAAATGTACTTACTTAAATATAATTTTTAAAATCTTATGATAGATTCCTTTAGGCTTTGTCATTGTTTCCATCTCGCAAATCGCTCGGCGTACGCAGTGAAATCCATCAAGACCATTCCTGAAAATTATTAAATCGAAATATTCATTAAATTGGAATTATTAAAAAACTAAATAAATAATCTTTTTTTTTAAATTTCAATCGATAGACTTCACTCTTCACTTAACATAAAAAATGACTACTTCCTTCTATATGCTTAATTTTGATTTTTTCCATATACAAACTTCTCTTCTCTTCTGCGATTGTCAGGTATTAAAGCTTTCTTAGATTTCTTTTATAGAAAAAGCGGGCAAACGAGCAGCGGATAGCTTGATATTAAATGATCCGATGCCTATGAACATCCGCAACGCCAAGGGAACTGATGCGCTGCCGCCTTTAAGGGAGAAACACGCTGTTTTCTTTGAAGGCCCCTAAGTCTAATTATTAGGTTTCTTTTACTTTTATAATATGTTATTATCAATAAATGAAATATAAATACCTATTTAATAATGTTTCCAGATTATTGTAAACAGTACGCCTGTGCAGATGATGATATGGATGGAATGAATCAGGAGGTTCGTCCCAAGACACCTTGAAACCCACAGCGTGCGCGAAGTACTGATTCCAAGGTACCATATTGTCCCTAAAATTGAAACGGACCTGGAACATAACAAAGCAATCTTACTAAAAAGGTAAAGTTTAGATGGATGGATGTTTGTGGGAGTTTTTTTGGCCACTGTTTGCCTTGAAGAGGCATTTACAGATTCACCAGGCTTAAGGTGGCCGAGCGCAGATGGCGCTTAGCCTAAACCTCGTTTATGAGTAACTAATCTCGAGGGCTCCTCCAAGAGTCTCAGCACAAGCCGTTACTTCTTTGTTATTACCGGATTGGTAGGCCGCC